TTCCACCAAACAAACCAAGAAATAATCACAATTTTCACTGTCAGCCAGCAAGGCTGTAGATTGACACACAATAACTCCAGCTTCTCTTGCCATCGAGTGTAGCAGGTAAAACCTGCTTGGCTGCACGCGTTGCTTGCTAATGAAATTGCTGTCCACTAGGCCTATCACAATAACAGGTCAAGGACACACTGCAGTAGGTCTTTCCCTTGAGTCTCTGGAGGTGGATAGAACTAATCAAAAGAAAATGTAGAGCAACGAGCCAGAGTGAAAATGCACTTGAGGAGTTTTGGAGAGGGGGTCTTATTCCACCAGTACCTACCACGCTTTTAGGCGTCAACGCTGTGGCCGAATCGGTGCGCCGCGCTGGTCCATATGCATTTGTGCCAGAGGGGGCCTAAGACCCTCTGGGGTACTGGTGGTTTAATGCAGTTAGTAATTACTATCCACTAGGCCTATCACGACGACATATTAAGGACACACTGCATTAGGTTTTTCCCTGAACATTCCAATAGAACCACGAGCACGAGGGAGAATGCGCTTTTGAGGGGACTGCCAACTCTGCCTGTTTTGCAGGGCGGCGGCAAGTCTTCGGCAAGCGGTGCAGGGGAGACTCTGCCTGTTTGGCACGACAACGGCGGCGCTTTGTGATAGTGACCCGGAAGCGCTGCCGATTTTTTGCGACGACAGCTCTGACATTTTGGCGGCAGTGAGGAAGCGCTGCCGAAATTTTGCGGCGACAGCGCGTGTTTGACGGCGGTGGTGCGGAAGCGCTGCCGAATTTTTCACGGCAGAGGCGGCAGTATTCTTGCACTGACTATATAAAGCAGTGGCTGGGTATTGGCACAGGGAAGGTACCGTGAAGTGGTGGTGCGCTTGAAAGTGGTGCGAGTGCGCCGCAGTAGTGGCACAATGAAATTAGGGATGAGTGACGGCGGCACAAAGGTGTTATTGGGTTACCGGAAGGTGGTTGTGTGTTGAGAGGGTGTTGCGGCAAGCAAGCGCTTTAGGGAGTGGTGTAGATCACTTTGCTGACGACTTGTTGTGACGACCTTCTCATCTAAGGGCGTGATTCTATACGGTCTTCTTGAGTGGGCCATTTTTTAC